GAGTCAGGGCTCATCTCAGGGAAGCCGAGGACTAGGCAAATTGTACAGCACTCGCAAAGCAGTATCACCAACCTTTGAATTTAAAACGATGATTAAAAGGAGCATCGCTGCTTAACTTCAGGAAAGCTAAAGGAAAACAGATTTAGGTCCTGGCTCTGAAAAACTGCCCAACCCTGTAGTCCTACACTTTCCTGTTATCTAATGGGGAGAACAGTTCACTGTTTCTTATGAGGATTAAGGGCAGTTAATTCTCCAAGGCATTCTATGAAAATTACTATTGCAACCTTTAAAATGGGCATGATCACACCACCTTTCCAACTAATAAGGATTAAAAAAATGTTAGTATTTGCCCTGATTGCTGTAGCTCGGTTGGCTGGGCATCATCCTGCAAAGCAGAAAGTTGCTGGTTCCATTCCCAGTCAGGGCACATGCCTGGGTTGTGGGTTTGATTCCAAGACAATTGATCAAAGCTTTTTTTTTTTTTTAATCCCTCCTTTCCCTTCTCTAAAAATAAAACCTTTGAAGTGTTCAGGCCAAGCATTTTTAAGGAAGTCCCTTAATAAGTAATGCATACATACTTTTAAGACAATGTAAACATCCTGTGCATCAAAGTTGCACTTGCTACTTTTAGCCAAGTGACTTTCTAATGCAGTACTACACTTACCTTTATTGGCTGACAGTCTAAAAGCTTTCCCCTCTCCCATTCTGTATTCTTTGATTCTCAGTGACTTATGTTGCTACCACTATTCTGATAATGTATTTGAGAGACTTGGCCAGTAAGAACCCTTCAAGTGCTTCCCATGCCCTTCTGACGTGCACCCATCACTTTTGAGATTTCCTTTCTTCCTGGCACAACAGAATGTTCCAGGATTATCTTTTACTTTCTCTGCCCCAGCCCTAAAGCCAGACATTTCTCCAAAGAGCACAGTCTCTTTCATTATTTAGAAATCAAGATCTGGGTACTACTAGTCCTCAGTGCTCCTGCAGTTACTGTAAGTTCTAGGCCCTCAGTGAACACGCTGGGAAATAAAATGTTATATACAGTGTTAGTCATGAAAAACAAATTACAGAATGCTACACAGAACCAGCAACAGAGTACAATACATATCCCTTGCTTTGGATCCTGGACTTTGGAAAAAACGTATTATGAGAAACACTGGGATAATTGATGAAACTGAACAGACTGGACTACAAATCTTTCAACATTGAAATGTTCTGATTTTGGTAATTGTACTATTCACACTAAAATTATTAGATGTAGAGAGACAAGATCTGTAACATATTCTCAAATAGTTAAAAAGTATGTTTATAGAGCAAATGGGGCAAAACGTTAAACAGTATAAGGGGAACCACGGCACTATTCTTTCGATTTTTTAAAGTATCAAGTTAAACAGCTTAAAAACGACTTGTAAACCAAAGGACTATTAACACACAAATTACTTCTAAGGGTATTGACCCAGTTCGCTGAGATGACCTAGCATGAAAAGCTGTTGCTTGTCTCGTTAAAGTTTTTGATCCGTGATCATATTATTTAATAGATAATTGGGCAATTTATTTTTTCATCAGAGACAAAAGCTTTCATCTTATTACAACCTATAGTAACATTTTTAAATGGACCCAATGTAAATAGAAACACCTAAACTTTGCTATTGGCAAAGAATTTTGAGGGTAACTGAAAAGTAGTTCCATATAGCTGCTCGATTTCATCTTAACAGGAAATGATTTCTTAAAACTTTCTCCAAATGATATACAATTTCCATTAAAACCCAGCCACGATTCTTGTCACCTTTAGCAAATGTTTCAGCATTTTTGATGTTTGTCAGAATTAGGCATAATCTGCAGATTCCGTCATCCTTTCACTACTGAATGGTAGAGATCACCCCCTCCCACAGGTTGTCTATATTCAGATGTACTCCAAATTCTCTCCCCTACAATAGCTTAAATCAGTTCCCTGCCTCCAATCTGTTTAACTTTGTGATCCTTCCAAAGGGCACTTCCTATTTTGCCCATTCCTTTAATGGCCCTGCAGCTACTTTATTCTCTGCCATTCTCAGTCCTATCCTTAGTCCAAATTTTTTATCTGCTGCACTCCATCTAATTACCTGCTTCCACACCGGTCTAGATGTCTAACCTATTCTTTCCAGGACTAAGTTCGTTGTCCCTGCTAGGTGCTTCCAAAGCACCTGTTTCTTTAAAAGGAACAGTGTGATTCCAGAGTGGCTCAAGTTTATTTCTTCAAACTTTTCTGCATATATTTATTTACCTATGAAAAATATACGTTTGAAGTGATAGCTAGGTGAAACAGATAATCCTGAATTTAAATATCAAATAGAGAACTGTGATTTATACACTCTGAAACCGGTCTCTGTGACTCTCCACTCCCAGTTTATCCTACTTGTTTGGAGGTCACCCCATGCATCAGGTGCTTTTTGACTCAGGTCTGGGGCCAGGCACTGACACCAAACACTGCTCCCAATACTTAAAAAAATCATTAACATTTCTTCACATAGCATAGAATTCTAGCCACTGTTGAGTCCACAGCCTCAATCAAAACCCAATGCTTGACCAACTTGAGACATATCTTATTAGACAGAGACTCTAGTAACTGTTATTGCTCAACATTTTCATTACATTTTTGCATATATCCTCAGAAGTGGTCCAATAGGCCATTCCAGAAAACAGATGCATTTAACTATATATTGGTTGATAATTAAACACAGAAAGCAGTCTTGGCTAGATAAACTTATGCTTTGATTCACCACCACTCTGGTCTTTTCAGATGAAAAGTAGACCAAGTCTGTCATTATTAAATATATTCCAAGGAAGCAGAAAATATGGGGAGAGGGAATTCGCAAAATGTGAGCAATAATAATTTGACTAAATAGTCTCACTTTAAGGGAAGAGCACATCTGAGGTACTTAAAATTTTTTTTATTTTTAGCAATTTACCTCATATAGACCCACTCACATTTTAGTGACACAGTTATCAGTTTAAAAACCTAAAACGTAGCTTACACGTTAGGTCAGAATCAACTGTGTCAGACTACTGCTGAAATTTGCAGGGGCTGAGCTGGAAATGCCTAGGCCACCCCTTCTTAGAATTCCCATGGTTCACTCTCATGAAGTTCTAAGAACCTGTTCTTGATGGTTCTGCAAACACTGGGGAAAACTAGCTCATTGGCTTGGGTTCTAAAATCCTTGTTTTCTATTATAATGAAATTGTTTATTATTATAGTATATTCCACTCAGAACATTTAACAGTACTACAAGGACTGGTAGAAATAGGAAAATCTCTTAATATTTGTTGATGAAATAGAGTCAAAGCAAACCCCCCAGTTCCACTTGTAGACCTTAGGAGTATAAGCACAACCACTTGGGAGGAGATAACCAGTCTCTCCCTTCATATATATTTGTTTTTATTTTCTTGTTATACCTTCCCAAAACAGAGACATTCAACAGTAGTTAGAATGGCCATCTCCCAACATTTAAAAAAACTGTACCCCCTCAATGGGTGAACAAAGAGTAGTAACCTAGAGTTCAGCTGAGTAAGCCACTGTGGAGCCTTAAGTGGTGAGGTCTTCCAATTTCAGAGTGATATGTCTTCAACTTGTATCATCATTTTAGTGGAAAAACATAATTTAATTTTGGTGAAATGAGATTCATCTCCCGACAGGATTAGTAAACAGCATTCACTGAATTTCACATTCTTCTCTTGTGAACTGTGAAGAAAATGAATGGTAGCTAGGAGATCAATGGGATTCCAGCTCCAGCTGCAGATGGAATGACGGTATACCAGGACAAAAACACCTATATTTTGATTTACAAAGCTAACAGCAGTTATAAATCTGCAACTTAATTACAGACCAGCTACACCACACCTTTCCAAATGGCAAAAATACAAAAAAGTTAAGTGTTACAAAAATATTTCAGAAAAAGTGCATAGTCTAAGTGCATAGTAAATAAAAGCACTGAAAAATATCTTGCTAGAGGGAGTTCAGCTTGGAAAAGTTATTACCAAAGCTAAACATTTTTATTTTACACAAACTATACTCAAAAATAGCTTTATGAGACTGATTTCTGGCTAAAAGTATCAAAGGGTTTATTCGTCAAGAAACAGATACCTTAACTGACATGGGTGGATAGAAAAGAAACAAAGCTGCCTACCCCAAAATTCATACTCGTGATGATTTCTGCAGTATGATGGTGCTAATATATCCTTTAATGGCAGAATGTAGTAATCTCGGAATTATTGCTAAAGTAGTTTTCAAATGAAAAAAAGAAAAATTAAGCTTGACACAATCTGACCAAACAAGTGTCAATTTACAGTTTCAAGATTATTTTACAAAATACCTACATTTTTACACAATAGGCTCCTGGCAGCATTTTCAGACGGAAGTTCTTTTAAATCTATCCTGACATTGTAAAAATGAATAAATTACAGTATTTAAAAAATTGTCAAATCTTTCTCTTGGGTCATAAAAAGAAAAGAGCGGCATATAAGATTGAGAGGGAAACACAGAAAACCTAAGAGAAATGGGCGGGCTAGGGAGGGTCAGCAATTGCAGGAACCTCATGGTATGAGGTTCTCCAACGTTAAGAGTCCATCTGCTCAAAGCCAATTAACAAGAAATTTAAAGAAAATTTCCATTCTGCAGTTAAACCCTTTAACGCTTTCACTCTATTCAGAATCAGTCCAGCTGTTGTTAGTCTGAGGCTGCAGGAGTTACAATACCAAGTCCTAGCGATTGTAGCACTAGGTGTTTGCGCCTGCAAGTCATTAAAAAAAGAAAAATAAAACAATGCCTTTCTCCTCCAGACAAAAACAATTTTAAATTAAAAAAATTTGAGGAAAAGTTATAACACTAAACCTAGAATGATTTGCAAAAGGAGTATTATGTAACAAATGGCTTGAAGTAGTCTATTAAAAAATTGGGGAGATTTTGATTTCAGAGTGAGTCAGCAAGGCATTTTTTTTGTTGTTGTTGTTTAAAAAAAATCTCATTTCCTTACAGAAACAGTTTATCATTTTTAATGAACTTGTAAACAAAAAAGCTCCCATTTCAAAATAAAAACAAAATCCCAGATCATATAGATGTTTACAGTGATTACATTTATCTAAGCAACATACATACATGTTCAGTTTTAAGATGTTAACTAATTTTGTGTGACAAATATGCTTTTTTTTTTTTAATACCAATAACATTATAGAGTTAATGCAGAGTCCTAAGGATAATCTAGTAGTCACTAAGTTTTTCTTAAGTCTTCACTTTTAGATGCTGTTATTTCTAGCACAGGTAAGCAGGCAGTCTTTCATATGCTCAAACACTGGAATCTTTGGTTGCTACCATATCAGCTGGCTTGCAAACAAGAAGCCAACCATTGTAAGAATGTTTTAAGTGAACAACTTGCAAACCCCAGGGGTGGATAAACCCTAAGAATGCACAATTGTGAGCATTTACAACCATCACAACTGTGGCTGAAGACTGTTCATGCCGTTCTTCTGAAATGAGATCTCAAAGCAGTATAGTTCAAAGTAAAATATTTTTAACAAAAAAAATTGGCATATGCACAATTTCTCCACCAATTTGTGTGTGTCAACCATTTCGTTAACTTTTCCACTTGAAAAAATGCAATATAAAACTGGACACCATGTTTCACTATCTCAGTTAATATTCACAATTAACAGCAGCTACAACTCGGGACCCAGCATCACCAATGCTGCCCAGAGCCAGTTTATACTGAAATTAAGTTCTTTACACCAAGTAAATGGTTGTCCACAACCACTGGCTAGTGTACATATGAACTAAAATTTCTAGATTTGGGGAGAAACAAATGCTGCTCCGATCATCTGCACTGCTTCTTCTGTTCCTTGATTCATGCTTAGAAACCTGTTCAAAAAAATAAAAACAGGAAAAAAAGGTTACTATTCAAAGTTAAAAAAAAAGTTTAAAACTACACCCAAAATAAGGAAATTGGGTAGAGTGGGCTAGTAATTGTTTTAGAATTGTGACTCAGGTGATTTTTTTCATCTATTTGAAAATTCACTAGCTCAATTTTTTAAAAAGAAAAAAACTTTTCTGTTCTAGATACTTCTGGATAGGAATGGTATACAGTCAATCAAAGCCTCCTAGTCAGCATACAACCCTCAAGCTAGAGAAACAGTGGTAATTACATTAAGCCTGTTTTCTTTACTTCTGTATTTCTAGTACCTAGAACATACTGTATTCAACTATTTGTCAAATGGATATAAAATGGACTGCTCTAACAGCTGGAAAGTATAGTTTTAATCATACTCTGAGTTAGGAACTTTTTTGCACACCATTTCTGATACAAATAAGGTACAGTAAGTTCTAATAAATGTATTCAAATCATAAGTATCTGAATTAATCCACTGAACACAAAACTAATTAAGTATGACTTTTACATAGAAAACTTAGAGACCTTTAAAAATTCTTTACCTCCATCAGTTACATGAAAAAGGTTAGGTTTTATCACTGATTAGAAAATGCAGAGTTGCTTTTTTTGGCTTTATTTATTTCTCAAGCTCTTCCACCCTGCAAGCACTCCCTTCTCTCAGCCACAGTTAGACTCTAGCAGGAGTGTCCAACATTCTGGTGCCTTTGAGACACACTGGAAGAAGAGCTGTCTTGGGCCACATACTAAATACATTGCAACATATAATCACAAAAAAGTCTCATAATGTTTTAAGTAACTTTACAATTTTGTGATAGGGCACATTCACAGACGTCCTGGGTTGCATATGGCCTGTGGGCCGCAGGCTGGACACCCCCGCTAGGGCTTCCGAGTCAAGGGACAGTTGAATAAAAGAATTCAGGTAAATTTACCTATGGTTAAAAAGAGAGGGGGAATATACCTCTCAGGGATAACATAAAACCCCCATCAATGCCGTCTCTCCTTTAAGGCAGCAATGCCCCTTGGCCCATCCCCTTCTGAACTCTTACAGCAACCCTATTAATGGCTTATTCTAGCCCACTCTGATCTCTCACTTCCTTTGCACAAACCATGTTTTTGTCAACCAAAAACTACTCCTTTTTTGGTACTTCTCAAAAATTTGCTGGACCATATCCAATGAGCTTTGTGGGATAAATACTTCTATAATTTATGTTCATGCATATTTCCCAAAGATAATACCAAACATACATTGTGCCTTGGTAAATAGTCTCTCACTTGTTAACTAGGAGTGTTTTCATCTAAGGGCATAAAGCTATCTTCATTCATTTAATAAATATATTGTGCTAACCCCTGAGGACAAGATTTCAGTGCTGTACTTCTTTGTCTCTCCATAGTGCCTAACACAAGACTAGGCACAGAACACACCGATGTTCCCTGTCCCAAGTACTATGTTGATAAAGCAAATGCCAAAAATAAAAGATAATGAAGCTTTCTGAAAATGTACTTCACCACAAGGAATATCTTATTTGATATGTATTATGAAATAGGATTAACAAGGTAAGCCATAAAAAGAGCGAGCTGCCAAATCAAACCTGAAGTAAATTTTAAAAATCTGACCATATTCTGTAACCTAATCCCAATTTTAAAATACAGGCTATTTTAAAGCAAATTAAAACTGGATTAGCTAAATACAAATGACCTTCATCCTGATGAGCATTTGGTTTCAAGTACTCCAGTTATTCTTAAATATAAGGTTTTCACAACTACTAAAACTGTTGTGTTTTTCTATTATCATAGCTTGCTTATACAATTATATTGAATAATTAACTATGCTCACTATCCAAACAGCTTTAAATGGAAACCATCACCACTAATAAACCAAAAATGAAATATAAGTCACATCGGAGTCAAAATAAGAAACTCTTGTGTCTTAAACAGAGATAAAAATTATCATCTAGGTAAGAATTTATCTATTCATCTTTTAATCTCATTTAAAGAATTCCTGGGTCAATTAGTGATTACAATTGTTTACGGACTGGTTAAAGGCTAGCCTAACAATATTCCCGGTAGAATACAGCAGTCAAATCCAGATTTAACTCTTCAGATTAGCCAGTGGTAGTAGGTAGGACACTCTGCCTAGGGATCAATGTTTCTCCAGTGAATTGTCCTAAGATGTTACTAAAGTCTGTTGAGAAAAAAATCTCAATAGGAGCATCCAGGAGGTTTTTGATGTTCAGTCTTCAAGTACTAAGTGTTCTTTTCCTCAGTGTGCGTTAGTGCTTGGTTTTTATCTTGTGCTTTAAGGTGGTGTCTCCTGGCTTCTAACAGTCCAAAAACCTGTCTTCACTGCAACAACAGCTAAAATAAGAAGTGGATCCCTTTGTTCCTAAAAGAAGAAAGGAAAAAAAAGTTAAAAAACAAGGTTGGAGGAATAATGTGACAGATTCAGGAGTTAATAGCTACATTTAGGTTTCTTTTCAAATCTGCAAAAGAAAAAACAATGTTTATTTTTTATATAACTAACCAGGAGATTCTGCCCCTCAATCTGCAAAGTATTTATCTGCTCCTGTTTGTAAATTAAATCCAGATGTCCCCATTAAAAAAGAAAAAAAGAACCACAAGCTAGTTCAAAGGGATATTTATGTAATAATATTAAGGATTGAAAGTTTATAATGGGCTTTTGAAATGTAAAATCCTTTCACAGTACAAGACATTAACTTTTAAAAAGTAATTTTAAATATTTACATTTATCACTATGCAATGCCATTTATATTAACTTTTCCTATTTCATGCTTATATGTTTTTGGTCACATAGGATTAGAATCAAGCTGATAGAATTTTAAAGCAGATTGGCAGTATGAAAGTTAAGAAAAATAAAAACCTGTAACTCTTTCTTCTCCACAGAACAGTATTAAATTAGGAGAAGAGAAAGGAAACAGATTTTATTTTTATCACTACAGAGAAGATAAATTACCACTTAAGTATAATAGGTACACATCATCCCTAAACTACATCAAAGGAAAAAACTGGTGATCTGACTTTTTTTGTCTTTCCTATCAGAGTTCATTCTGCTACAGATTTTTGAGGTTGCTGAATTTTAAAATACCTGTTACAACTGATTCCTTCCCCAACTGGTGGATGGTCTGCATTATACACCACTGAGCCACAGCCACACTGTACTCTTCCGGGTCTTCTGGACTGTTGGATCATCCAGACAATCTGACAAGTTGCCAAGTTTCATAGGTCAAGCAAGCCTTGCAGATGTGGGCTTCAGTTTAGTCACCTCTTGCACTCATCTTCCTTTCCTTTTGGGGTAATTAAGTTCTTCTCTCCAGCTTTATTGTCCACAGTGAAAAAAAGCTGACAAAAATTTCAGCAAGCAGATGCAGCTCCCTGGTGCTTCTTTGAACTGAGTGATTCAGAGCAGATGAGTCGCTCCAGATATTTCAATGTCTTCCCCTGTGATTTGGATTACGTTGCTAAGTGACCAGCCACGTTCCTAGCAGCAATTGGTGAAGTCAGAAAAAGTTAAGCTAGATATAAATGGTAGGTGAAGCCCAGTAAATACTGGAAGGTAACTCAAGGAAGGCCATGGACATGTGATGGGAAACTATTTCCAATCTCTTGAATGCCAACAGTTTGATATCTAGATACTTATGACAAAACTATGCTTACTATTGATGGCTGGGGTAGTGAAGAGATAGATGGGTTAAGATGATGAGAATTGGAGACTTATGTGAGAGTCAACCTTTCATTTTACTACGTTCTGAAATTCTCCTATCTTTGCCCTTAACTAAAGAAACGATGAACTTAACTGGATTATAAATGTCCTAAAAATATTCTTTTCGTTTACTTCTAAAATGCATTGAAAAGTATTTTTCTAATAATCATGTACAGTTGAAAAGAAAGTGAAATGGATTGAAAGCGTGTCAGACATAAATCCTTTATTTTTCTTTTTAACACTTATAAAAACAGTAATTATAATCATGTGGTACCTGAGCACTGAATACTAGTACAGAACACAGTGGGCATTATGGAAAAACACCTTATTTCTTCTTACTACTTTAATGGGCTTTGGAATGGAACATTTCAAAAGATATTTTCTCCAGGAAAGTAATTAGGACAGAAGCATATTACATATGATAAACCTGTCTTAGCTGAGTTAAGCCAGTCTTTAAAAAGTCTTTGGACATTTTTAGTGAATTGCTAGAACTTATAGCTCTCGATGCAGAAACATTAGATACACATTTAAAAAAAAAAAAAATCACATAAACCATACTAGTGAATGCCACTATTTCAGGCATGTTTTCCAGGAAGGATATTCCTGTGATATAGAGATCTGCTTGCTGAAGATTCATTTAAGAAACTAAATTCTCTGATGTGGAAAACTCTGAAGTATAACTCTCTGTGTAACAAATGATATGATGCATTTAAAATGGCACCTTTTAAACTTTTGACTAGAAAAACATAATATGGTGTTATCAGCACCACTGAAAGGATTTCTGGGAGTCAATAAAGTTGAGCTACACGAGCAATTCTTGAATAAAAAAACTGTAGCTTTTAAACACCCTTTCCACTGAGAGACTCGAATCAGGAATAAGTAACCCAGACTGGCTTTCAAACACCAGACTTCACAGGTGTCTCAAAGAGTGATTCAAAAAATGGGGCTGGGGTAAAGGTCAGGGGAATTGGCTACTCATACTCATTTTATGCTACTCTCAAACCCACAAATACGTTCATGGCTTTATATACAGGAGTTTCATGCAAAATTTGCTCGAAGCACTAAGTTCTGTATCCAAAATAAATGTTTTCAAGAAATCAAAGATCAAAAAGAATTTTGATTGTATTCTGTGGAGAGGCACATTTTAGTTGCAAGCAGTATTTTGCTTATAGTCAGATTATAGTGCCTGGATATGCATCTCTGAAAGTAGTCAATGACATGGTATGTTTTAGGAAAAGCCCAATTTTTCAAAACTTTACAAGTCCATTTAAAGTAATAATTAGTATAACTTCTGTGTCTAATAATGCTCTGAGATTTTCATTAAGATTTTAAGTGGCTTTTATGAAAAATAGCTACGATACAAAGTAAGGATTAAACTTAAGTTTAATTTTTTTTCCAAGGAAACATACTAACTCAGTGGATCCAACTTCTCATCTTTAAGACCTGGATAGGGCAGAACAAAAATTCTGCTTGTTTATTGAGTAAAAACACACAGTAAACTAACAACACAGCTAGCTCACAATAAGGTATAATTCTTTCTGAAGGCTGCTGAATGCCTGAAGTGAAATGTTCTAGGTCAGCTGAGATTTCAATCTAATTTTAGTTCTAGAAATTGCAACTCGTGATGATCCTATTATCCCAGCTAGCTTTAGGCAAAAATTGGTTTCATTTTGTGCAAAAAAGCAAATATACTATAGGTGTCAGGTGTAACAGCCCTCAGTTTAGAGACTCTGTCATCTTACCTATAGTAGGGACATTTCTACTTTCTTGGCACTATGATTAGTTACACGATGATTAAAACACTCAAAAGGAGCAATTAAGGCCCAATGGCGATGCGCACACAGAGCACCATGCAAGCATTAGAATTTGCTATCCTGAGCTGAAATTTCATCATCTTAGAACCCTCACTACATTTAACCTTCAACTGCGAATCCTTCCCAAATACAGAAACATGGAAGCGTCTCAATTTCACTCCTAAGTTGATGAGCTGCTGGGATGAGGATGACATCAAGTTAATTATACTTCTTGTAAAGTATCCTCAGTTTAGAGCCTATTTTTATATTACGAAATAGTTTAAATACAAAACTAAAAATATGGATCAAAGAAGACCAAGTTCAGACTAGAGCAAACATTCAGAAATTAAATAATTAGAAACCGAAAACCAAAACTTACCTGCCCACCACTTCTAAAAAGTAGGCAGGTATTAGGAGTTAAGCCCCAGAAAGGGGAAAAGAAAGCAAACAAGAAAACATGAAACACAGGAGTTGACCTGTATGGCAACAGCACGAGGAGACGGAGCTGTGCCCTAACAGTTCCACTCCTGTAGCACCGAGAGTGCCAGAGAAAGGAAGGAAACAGACTAGCAGTTCAATGGCATTTGCCCCAGTTTTTTTCAATTTGCATGGTCTAACTGCAGAATTCAATTCTACAATGGATCCCCAGATGCTAAATAGCAAGGTTTAGAAAAATAAAGCCAAAAACAAAAGAATCACTTTGAAATTAAGAACATGTGTTATTAAATATCAACTAAAAGATTTATTTTTCACTAGGAAAGATGTGTCGAGCTTTTCAGTTACTTGAGCATTTAAGAGCTTAAACTAGATGCTCTACAACTGAGAAGATAGACACGTTGGGGGCAATGCCAGACTCACCTCTTGAAATTAGATCATGTTCACAATATTCCATTTTAAATGCTATGGTATTAACATGCAGAAAAAATTCTTAACACTGTTAGTCTGAAAGAAAGTCAAGACATCATGTCTAACCAGTTTCAATATTAAAAATCAACAAGTGTTAGGTCTAGGATTTTGGATTGATTGATTATACCATATTCCCAACACCAAATGTTTATTTTGGAAAGAGTTAATGAATGAGTAAAAAAGATGCAGTTGTTAAAAATGACCCAAAATCCCAAGAGAAATGATATAATATATGCACATATATGTATATACAAATACATATACATATATATGAACAAGGACATTTGGGTTTAAAGTTAGTAGTCAAATTTTCCAAGGACGTCTTTTTTTTTTTTTTTTTTAAAAAAAACACAGCCAAATTTTCATGTATTTTAAAACCACCTCCTCGATCTAACACTGTTAGATATGAATGAATGACCCAATTTTGTGTTCAATTTTTTTCCCCTGTAACGTCACTTGGTTCTTGGCTACTAACCTTTCATGTTACTCTTGGTTTTGTCAGTTTGCTTGCCTGTGGGGGTTTGGGCCTGCTGACCCTGCCCACTCGAAGAGGCTGCCTGCTGCGCTGCTTTCTGCTTTAACATTGTCCAGTCAAATGTGTAGTCATACTGGTGGTTCAGGGTCCTGGAAAATATAATACAATTTTATGTTAATCCTTTAATAAGACTCCAGTTTAATATACTACTGAACTTTCAGGAAAGTGAGGGCATTTTTTAAAAGGAAAGGAGTATTTTCTCTTATTCAATTAATTAAATCTCTTTTTACATGTCATGACCGGAGGAAAATGATGCCACACTTTGGTCTGTTGTATCTGATAAGAATAAATCCTACCCCCCACCACCCCCAAAAAAGGCTGCCTTTAAATTTTCTTAAGGAGCAAGACAGTGGGAATGGAAGGCAGCATGAACAATAGAACACTGAATTATCTTGTGCGGATAACCCTAACAGGAGGCACTCCCAGAAACAAAGCAGAGCAGGAAGGGGACTCTTAGGTTTGTGAGGGAGGTATCCATGCTGGTGGCTTGGCAAGACTTTTCTAGGTTTAGAGTTACCTCCAATTATTCTTTTCTCACCAAGATTTCAAACTGTGTACTCTATCCACCCACCCCTCAAGACCAGTTCTGGGTGGCACCTAGGAAACCCTAGGGGTTGGGCCTGCCTCCATGATATCAAAGCCTCCATGACTGATATTTTAATTGCTTTTCATTTTGGTATTGAATATGGTTCTGTACCAAAGCTGGAAATTTCCAAGGGCCTCTAGTGTCCCTTATTTCTGTGTGAAATGCAATTATTGTGAAAAACTTGAGAGTCTACTTTCAGCTTGATTCAACTGTTTCTCTATCCCAAACTAAAATAATTTCAAGCACATTTACACTACAAATGGAAACAAGCCAAATGAAACCAGTTTCTTAAAATTTTATTCATATTGGCTAGGCCCACATTACTTTGCCACTTGTCAGATAGAAATGTTGGGTAATTTTAACTAATTACCCTCACTGGAGTTTATAGTCTTAAAATATCTTAAAAACTGACCTGAAAAGAATGCGGAATAGCTGCCTCAGATACATGTAATCCGGGGCTTCCTCAAAGCGCAGCCCACGACAATAGTTTAAGTACATGGCAAATTCTGCAGGAAAACCCTGTAAGTCCAAGAGTTAAAACACAAAGTTAAAAAAAGTCTTATTTCAAGATAGAAAAATAAATGTATTTAAACACAAGTAAAATATGTATTAGAGGAAAATGTTTACTACTTTACTGGACAACATGAAAATAAAACAACTGGCTCGGTATCCTCATAAATTAAAACAAAATTCACTGTCTTGACTTCTTTATTATTACAGTATCATTTAATACTCGTAGAGAAAATATGTATCTTTTTTGCTCTGGGTGGTATGGCTCAGTGGACTGAGTGCCAGCCTACAAACCAAAAAGTCACTGGATCAACTCCCAGTCAGGGCACATGTGTGGGCTGCAGGCCAGGAACCTGCTTGGTGGTGTGCAAGAGGGAACTGATGGATATCTCTCTCACACACTGATGTTTCTCTCCCTCTTTCATAAAATCTTAAAGAAACATTTTTATATACATTCATGGTCTGCGTTAATGGTAAACAGCAGTTACCAGGTAAATTTTTTCCTACATGTATTACAAATGGTGTTCAACAATCACAACTGAAGGTCAAGTAGAACACCTCACATGGTGTCTCCTTATGAAAATGGGCAAAACCTTAACAGAAGAGATCTACCAATATCATAAGTAATACAGATTGAAATGAGAAGTTCAACTGGATCATGAGATTGAAAACATTCTATTTTGTAGTAATGCCTAATACTTCTGTGTTTACTGTACCCTGGATCATATGTGGCTAATCCAAAAAGACATAGTTCACAATTTCTCCATCAAAATTAAGACATAGCCCACTAGTAGAAACTGCAAGATATCCCTTTTCTTCCTATAAAAATGGTTGACTTTTCTGATAAGCGAAATGAATCTTTCTGTTACATGGAAATGTAGTCTATAGAAAATATAATGTTTTGCTTCTTGAAGTATACAGATTTTAAAGTTACCTGGGTGAATTATAACATAAGAACATTTCACTCATTAACCTAAAATGTATTTCATAATTTGAAACAAATCCCAAGGGGTCTCAGAGAAGACCATAGTCTCCCACTCCATCCACTCCTTTACTGCAGATATGTGAAAAAGAGGAAAAGCAAATTTGTGGATGGGGAGACACATAAAGACATCGCTATTTACCTCCATTCAGAGAATTATTTCAACTCATGCTGATTTCTACTTTCTGTCACCCAACTATGTAATTATGTACTATTTTTTCATTATTGCAGGTGTTCAACTGATTCAAAAACAATCATGTGGTCTTCTTTCTGTGGAAAACCATGGTTATCCATCATGATACTAAAACATCTCTCCCTTCTCAGCTCAAGTGCCTCTCTACAAAGTCTGAAATTTCAGAGAAATAAGCCTGATTCAAACTGTCATCTACACTGTTAGACATGCATCATTTTGTATTTTAGATCGTTCTGATCTGCCTGCCTCTGTTTCCCTACTCCCTGTATACCAATTGCTGATTTCCCTTCTTTTCTGGTACCAGTTTAAGGAGAAAGAGAACATTTTTAAATTTAATGTTTCTCAAAAGTTAGTGAGGTTCTTTTAGAAAAGTTTATCTGCTCTTATTTTTCCTATAATTTTTAACAGATGACAGAACCCAAATAAACCAGAACAAAACACTTAATGGCAAATAGCTAACCCCTAAAAGGATGTTTAAGTTCCAGCACTGACTAGTTAAGTGTTTCTTTTTGTTCTTGGATCATTTGTATTAAAAAATAAAAATTTAATCATACACACCTACCTTACATAAAACTTCAACAGGAGTGGACATCTTCTTTTCACTAATCTTTTCATATTTTTGTTTCTTTGTTGCAGCCTGTGGAAAATTAAATCACAGACATACTCAGTACTACTGAGAACCTTATCAGTTGAACATATTAGACATAAATATAAACTTAAGATTCAAGAGAGACCATAAATAAAACAAAACAAAAAAACCAAACCCAAAGTACAATCCATCTAAATTTCCTCCTAATTTGTTAACTTTTTATATGAGTTTCTACTTTAAGAACATATTTAGCTATGAGAAAAGGGTGCATCTAATAGGAAAATCAAGATGAATAATTTAAGAAAAAATGGGCGGAGTCCAATTTGAAATTTTTCTTAACCCATAGTTAACACATGGGCAAATGTATGAGCAAATCAATACAAAAAAAATCTGCCCATCATTTAGTGCCATTAATAACTGGTGTTAAGTTAAAATATTTTCTCAATGAAAAATATTCATACTGAATAAAGCTACACCCGCACAAGCACAAAACAATTTTCTAGGTCACAGATGCTCAAAAAATACAGGAACGATTTTCCTTCAAGGGACAAATAAAATATCAAAGCAGCCATTTAATTTTAGAACATGGAGATTTATCATTAACACACAACACTCACAAAAGTAATGTTGGAATAATTAAATAATATAGTTAGTATCACTGGCTAAACCAGTTTTACTGTACACAAAAGTATGTATTTTAAACATAATGGCAACACATCAAAACGAGAAAGTCTCCACCCAATTTCCTAGCCCATGTTAACATCTACCCAGATAAGGCAACTGGTTACCAATGAGTACCTGCTTACTGTGTCCCCAAAAATTGTTCTTCAGGTGTTACTGTGGGATTCTATTAGTTTATTCTTACTGAAATGATCAGATTTTCCCAATAAAAAGTAAAAATAAAGTTAATTCACTTTCAGAACACCTCATATTTGAAAGAGATCTTGAAGATCTTCTTCAAAACTGATTTTTATTCTTAAAACAAAACAAAAAACTGGTAATTTGAGTCTGGTTTACCTTTAGTCCTTGCCATGGCAGGCTGGTTCTATTAAAATACATCAAAACATATCCTAATGATTCCATGTCATCTCGGCGACTAGAAAAGAGAATGTATATTTATGAGATGAAATTATTATGAAAAACATGTAAAAGAAAGCCAGGTACACAAGAAGAAATTTTCTTAAGGGAGGAGAGATAAATTTGGTGTCTTGTGAAAGGTACTTAATTACGGTAATAAAAAAGTTCATAATGGGTTACTTCTAAATAAAACTCTCTCACAGAAGTCAAAATTTTAAAACCTAACACTGTCTTGCAACTTAATTTTTAAAAAGGGGCAAAGAGAATTTAGCTAAACTTTCCAAATATGGTTCATGAAGACTGAAAAACCAAAGAGCAGGACACTTTTAAGTCTTGCGGAAGCTCATAAAAAGTCACTTCAGGGATGCTGAAATAAATTAACATTTTTAACATGAACAAACTCTCTCTCTCTCTCTCTCTCTCTCTCTCTCTCTCTCTCTGTCTGTCTCTGTCTCTCTCACAGCTGACTCTTGAACAACACCGGTTTGAAATGCAAGGTTCCATATATGTGCGGACTTCTTTCAATTGACCACATTTCAATTGACTCAGAGCAGTTCAAACTGAGTTGTTCAAAGGTCAGCTGTACACATAAGTGTATATTCAGACAGATGCATGTTTTTAACAACTGGTAGTACTTTGAACTACAGAAAATGTGAAATTATAGTTTAACCCAGGGTATTTAGTTATTCATAGACGTTTTCTAAGCTTAAAACCTCCTTATGAGGTTCCTTAACCTGGAAGCATATCATCTGTCATTTCTATGCTTGTTTTAAGGAGCAACAGATGATTTTCAGAAGATGAAGGAAACATGAAAACTTAGAACTTAAGCCAAGAAACAGAGCACAAAGATTATGAAGATTTATTTCAAACCAGATGCTAAATATTAATTTATGGAGGAGTGTAAGAGTAGAACAGGAGGTGTCCACAAACCCCCTTTGGTTCATTAGTACTCAGATAACATTTTTTTCCTAAAAATAACCAATATCTTCTTCTCTCAAACTCAACTTGCACCACTAATATATAAAAAGCCCAAGACCAGCATTAAGAAAATAAGTACTGTCTTCAGCTGCAAAAATAAACATCATGGTAAGTTGCATTCATGCATCTCACTTTTCATCATGCAATGTTTTTCTCCCCAAGAGACAGCCTTCAACAAAGGAAACAAAAAGGCCTCATTTAATTGGCTTCTCTGAACTGGCTAAAGCAGCAGATAAAAGAATTAATAAGCATCCTTCAAACCCTCAGCCAAGAAACACACTTAGATATTGTAAGAAATTAACTGAAATATTGTAAAAACCTTCTAATGGCTTTTGTTATGAATTTGATTAACATGTTCAATTGTCCAACTCACCTCTGTTCAATACCAAGATGTGCATTGATGCTAGCATACCGGGCAGTGCCGGTGAGATTCTTATCTTCTCTGTATGGTATGTGTTGTCTTGTCCTGTTGTCTCTGTACTTTTTGGCCAAACCAAAATCAATAAGGAATAACTTAAAAAAAAAATTAAAAGACATTAGGTTTCCAACCTTGTTTAATTTTAATACTTCTTATTCATTAAATGGCATCTATTTTCATTGTTCAAATACACCAAAATAAAGTATCATAAGTAGAACAGATAATGAACAAACTTAACATTCCAACAAGCTTTGACTAGTCCTTATCAATAAATCAAGTTAAAAAAAAAAAAAAAAGTCAGGGCAAGTGGTTGGTTGATCCTGTCAACCAAACAATTTCACAGGCCCAGTTCATTCATTACAGACCCAGGAGCCTTCCTTTAGACAAGTAGTGGAGAAATGCGTAACTTGAGAGGAGAGTTGACAAGCGTGCTATGTGCCATAATGAAAACTGATATCCTGTTACTACTGGTAAACAAGACAACCCTCAAAGTTCAATACTGACAACAAAACTAAGATTTTTATTAACAACAACAAAAAAAGCATTTTTAAAACAAGCATGCATTACATTCTACTACCCTAAGTGACATTTATGCATAGGTAAACTTCTGGAAACTATAACAAATTGATCTAAAAATCTTTAAGTGAAAAGGTACTTTATATCAAGGTGGCTTACAATTAGCAGTTTAAATATCCTAACCAAAAAAACAAACAAAAAAAAATCTAAAATATGTTCACATTTACCTACCTTCTAAAGCAAAATAAACAGTACTTACTTAAAAGTTTAGCCTTCATCATAAATCACATTAAGATTATTAAGCAAAGCAAGTCTATGTGCCCTTACATACTAACATCGTCTTAGACTATTGGTCTTTACCAGTTATGCCTAAATTTTGTAGAACTTTCCATCGGGTTGACATTGGGTTCCTTCTGCCACAGTTTATAATCTGTGATGTGCTGGAAAACCTGATTACATAGTCTGCTGGGGTTTGTGTCAAAAAATAAAGCAAGTTATTAATTTAGGTGAAAAAGATCTCTCTTAGGAGAATGAAAAACACCTACTTCAGGCAGGCACTGTTAATCTAGTCTTTGTTATAAACTAGGTGGAAAAGACACTGAGGTTTGAGTTTCTGTAACCATGTTAACAATGTGATACTTATGTACTTGGGTCTACTATTATAAAACAATGAAGATTAAATTTTTGTAAAATGTAATTGAATAAAGAAAGCTCTTTTAGAAGATCAAACTCCCTTCCTAAGCAACTGAGTTATAGGAGTATGAGAAAATGTTATAAAACACTAAATAAAGCTCATATTGTTTCTCCTGATATGAGTATCAGCTTAGTACACAAATATTAAAGTAGGCAAGATATATTTGTTAAGCAAAACAAAAATTGTAACTTAAGCTCTGTAGAGTCATATTAAAAATCAATCAAGGGGAAAAAAAAACAAAAAAACAAACCCGCAAATGGACACCCAGCTTCAAGGTATTTCAAAACTATCCCTAAGAATTACCTGGGTTTTAAAAAGTGATGAGGACATAAAATCTCCTTTGAAGGATATTTTCTGGGGTCACTTTCTTTAGTACTCAAAATGGAGAAGAAAATAGGAACATCTCTAACATGATTATGGCCGACAGCTTCATTCATGTCTAAACCTACAAGCAATCAGTACCCAGACACTCTCACAACTACAAGATCACTTTATAAACTGTTCACTAGTGTTTCCTTTCCACAGCTCTAAAGGATGAACTCTAATGAAGAAAACAAAAAACATACAAATACTATCTTATTAAAACATCTCAATCTTTGGTGTCAAAATAAAATACATACTACAAAACAAATAAATCAGTTTAAAATGTTCTGTTCTTGTAAAAACTTAGAGTTAGGAAAAGTAATGTCACTGCCAAACAAAGGTATCCTATTTCAAGAGCAAACAATTTAAAGAAAAGCTATTTAAAAATGTTTAAAAGATTCTTTAAATCTCCTGGTAATTCATCATTTTCTGGTGCGTATTAAGCTTCTTTAGTAATTCCCTATGTTTTGAATTTTAAAATGAATATAAATACATAAATGGAAGTATATACATGAAACCGCGTGATAACAAGGATACAAACAGCCGCAAATATGTAAAGGTAGAATAAACAAGTCCGTATTTAGTGAAGCTATAAGATAATGTATTTTTATAGGTTTGTATATTCAAAGAAAAGGCCTAATCTTTCTGGTGAGTCAAGCTGCTTTTCTGTGGGTGTTAAAGATATAATTTGTCCCTGTCTTAAAGAATACAACCTGTTTTTCAAAGGAATGTGGAAATAAGGTAATATTGGATATATGGGGTAATGCCATTCAGTACAGGTACATTTTCATCAGAAATACTACTGTCAATTTTGGGTTTTAGAATCTGCAGCAATTTTTCTCCTAACTGGGTGACACATTCCCCTGCCCTTCCAAAGAATTCACAAGATCACTTTTCCTCACAACCCAGCTAACCTGTAGAGAATATAAACAATTCAATGCAATTTAATGGAAATATTAAACGATTATGGTACAAAATATAAGTAAAATGTGTGAATGAATGGATAAGTAAACAAAGTGGCACCAGAATTGCCTCATTACCCACCACCCTCCCTCTTTCCATAACCTAAAACTGGTAACTACCGTTGGTACTTCTTTGTCCAAGAATAAAAATAAATGTAAATTTATGAAACCTTTGTAATGATGGGAGGTCGTCCCCAGAATAATGCCGGGCAGTATGGACAAAAAGTAAATGATCATCCAGATCATACATGTGATAGTTAAGAAACTTTAACACATGCTTGCATATCAAATACAATATTTTTCTTTTTAAATTACTCATGGCAATACTTTCTTCTCAGTGCATACTAAATTGATAAAGATTCATTTGCTCTGGAGCTTCAAAAATTTTACCTATCTAAATTTTGTGATTAAAAACACTATATCCCCTTGTCTGTCTGAAAATTCACATGGTAAAAAAACTAATGTCTACAAATATAAATGAATGTGAAGAGTTCCACTTACATTTTTAAAACATTAGAAAATTATTGGGGTGTTTATCTTGTCCACCAAAGGCTAAATCATCAGCTTATACTTTTATTTAATTTGTGTGTTACTAACAGCAATTTGTTTATGTTATTGTTAGAATGCAATGTCTTCTATTTCCAGAGCATACAATGTTCTTGTTGAGGTAAGTCAATTCTAGAAATGCTAGATCTGAAATCTGATCTACACTTACTTGGAAGTTCATTAAGGAACGGCCAGAGAGTTGAGGTAGAATATATTCACCATACAGTACTGATACAACTGAATGTAGAGGTATTTCATGCATTAAGTTCTGCAATTCCGAGTACATTAAACAGACTATCTCCAGTTTACCATCAGGTAAAGAATTTCCATACTAGACTAACACATCATTTCCTCATAAGGACGCTGGAGATCTAAACATAATCCTGTTTTCATTTAGATTTTCTCTATACTTTAGAAGTTTAAGCGAAAGCCACAAAGATACATCTTAGTAATGTTATGTTTGCCAAGTATGTCTGAATAATGCCAACGTAAGAGGTGCTTGAGCAAGATCTACATTCTCCAGAATTAAAACAAAACAAAAATAATCAAAATAAAACAATAAAAAAGAAAAGCACATGAATTTGGGATTGAGGTGGGAATAGGAGACAGTTTCAGACCTGGTTTAATCCTGAGAAAGATGGGTCCTGAGAAGTACTAACAGTCATGCTTCTTTTCCTCTTCCCCACTGGAGATTCTAAACACTAAACAGACAATAGAGGGTGGCAGTGCATCAAACAGTATTGCTTACATTGCAACAATGGCCGGCGCAGACAGGCAACACCGAGGCATTAGAGAAAGAACAGGGTAGCCAAATGCCATCCTTCTTCCACCAAGCACTGAGCTTCTCAGTTTTCCAAATAAAAATCACATGCTCAAGAACATTTGAATTCTGGAAAATACTCAGGTTTTTAACGCTGCTATAATGTGTCACTGCCTGAAACAGGGATAGCAATGGTGACATTTGGCTCTTTCCTTTTTTAAACCAAGAATGGGGAATTTGGATCTGCAATCTTTAGTACCATAATCTGCCCTTCCCCCAAAAAACATTGTACAGGGGGAAAAATCTTCAGTAAGGAAGAGGTAGAAGGCATTTAGTCACCTTAAAATTTATTTTTGTAAGCATGCAGGGCTGATTACTGGAAGAGATGAGCAAATTCACTTAGATTGGAGTGGCCACTCCTCAACATCAAATTCAGAACAATTTTCAAAACAAGAAATTTGACTTCAAAAATCAACCTCGAAAGCCCCCCAAAACTTTGTTTTCCAATAAATAGAAAACTACTGAAACAAGCTGACCGAAGAATCCAGTCTCATACAACTGGCATTTTTCAATCTACAATACAGAAAACACTAAAAACCAACTACATAAACAAAACACTAATCTAAAATGTTCAAGAACAACACTAAGAATTTGAGTCTTAGTTAAAACATTGCACTTCTGCCCCAGGGGCTCCCTGAATCTGTGTAACAGCAGGCAGCTCCACAGCATTCTACTTAGTATCTAAAGAGGACACAAAATTCTAACAAGACTTTCATCACCACGCAATTTGGACTTCCTAACACAACTACATGATTAACAAGCTATTTTTAAGGGGGGAGGGGGAAAGAAAGGAGGTATTATATCTAGGCCATCATTTAATTTTAAGGCATAAACTACATCCTGCAATGTCAACACGCAGAGAAGGGATCGCATGAGGATAGCAGATCTTAAGTGGGGGAAAAATGGGAAGGAGAAAGCTGGGAAATGGCCAAAAGATTAGGGTCAAACTCGCAAAATTGCCCCCAAAATTAAGACCAGTTTTTTTTTTAAATTAAATTACCAGGTTCTGCAATAATAATTAAGAACCTGGATGCTTCAGAGAGAGAAGCTACACAACATTTTTTAAAAAGATGCAATTTGGGAATGGCAGGATACGTTATATGTAGATTTAAACACTTTTATTTTTTAAATATTTAGCTCAGCTTTCAACACCAAAAAAAATTTTAATTTCCTAAAACTTGGTCAGACCAACATTAATGTTTCACACATTAACAAATAACACCAGTTCTAATGGTAATAGCTCCAAGTTGGCATTCATACAGGCAAACAAAGGTAAACATTTATAGCTAGACCTAAAAACACCAAACATTTCCTAACAGTTTAATAAAACAAATGGGAATCTTCCATCCAAAACATAACAAAAAAACATAAAAAACAAAAAGCCCCCAAGTTGTCCTGAAGTTGAGAATTCCTATTAGATCATTAGAGCATAATATGCTTAGTGCATTGCCAATGCTGCCTGTCTGCCCGAGCTCAACAATGAATCAATCGATAAATAAAGCAATTCACTCAATACACTAATCATTGCAGAAAAAATTTCAACACAATTAGTTTCTAACTGCAATCATGCGTCACTAGCTAAAACCCAATCACCCCATAGAGTTCAACCATTCAGAGACCCCAATGAACACTAATTTGGTTATATGAATGTTCATTTCACTTATTAATATCTTCCTTTGAAAGGGGGAGAAGGAATGAAAAACCCACCCAACTCGGCACCCAAGAAAGTGTCAACTACTTTTGAAACAGGCCCAAAGTTACCTTTTGAATACACAAATCCAAGGACTGAAGAATTCTCACTATCAACCATGCTCAGCCAGCAAATGTTAACACCATGGTGACAGATAGGTCAGTGGTTCCCACACTGGCACAAGCACATATGAATAAAAACATAACTAAAACTGTTCAATAGTTAAATAACAGGTGATTATATTTTATTATAAAGCCCTTGGGAATTTTATACTTCCATATAGATAGCTAACCTTGGTTGGGTAGGTTCGAGAGAATTTATTTCAAGTTAATAGAGTTAGCTGATTATTCTTCTAGTACAATCTTTAAAAGCAAATATCAACAGCAAATTAAATTTACTATGACTTTTTGAAGATCAAAAGTTTACCAAAGCAATTCTCTGAGTTTTCTACTCTTTGTTCTTTCATGCAAATAACATTTGACTAACCTTATTACAGTGACGCCCAATACCCATTAGGAAGTTATCTGGTTTAATGTCTCTGTGTATAAAATTCTTTGTATGCACATATTCAATTCTACTGATCATCTGGGGAAAGAAAAAGGGGAGAGATAATTAAGTGATTTGAATTAAGTAATAAAAGAAAGCAAAACATTATTTACCAGTTATTTCAGTATCTCAATTATCTTTCAAGACCACAGGCATATTTTAATAACTTTATAGTTCACAAAGACAGTGTAAGACAAAATTAAATGGAAAGAGCAATCAGGCTCTCCAGTCATCTCTAGATTGGTGGAGACCCAAGTATATACCCACATCCTTCAGCTTGTTCTTCCAATATTAATGATTTATAAACAAGGCAGCATCTAACCCGATAGGAAGAACCGGTGTTTGCAATTTTTTAATTGCAAAAGCAATAAACTTATAATTCTTCCCATTATTGTAATAAATTATAGAAAGTAAAAACTAAATCATTATATTTCACTCCCAGTGTTATGCCCCTGAGATAATTGTTTTAAACTGAAATATAAGTATTTTATTCAGTTTATTCTTGTTTGCTTATTTGTTTTTAATTACACATAGCCAAACATTCCTGGAAGTTGGCAGCATATAAACACATAACTTTTACATAAATGAGGATGTATACACATGCTGGGTTTCATTTTTTTTGGATGCCCCCAATTTTTCTCCACACTTGTAAATCATATTCAAAAAGTGAATAGTAAATACATCATTCTGACAAGTTTTTCTAGAAAATTCTGCCAAGTCCAATGGAGAAGGTCTTAGCATCCTTTTTTAATGGCTACAAATATTTTATGATATAGATGTTTTTCCCCAATCATTCCGAACCTACGGTATTCCCATTGTTTTCCAGTATTTCCCCAGTGTAAGCAGTAATGTTATTAACAAACTTAAATATATTATACCTACTAATGCTTTTATTTCTATAAGCTGTAAGTCCCACACAATTAATTATAGGGAGAACTGCTGGCCTGAAGGGTATATTTTTCATTTTGGTAGGTGAGGTACCTTTCAAAATAGGTCACTAACAATTTTTTTCCACTAGGAGTATTTGAGAGTATTCTTTTTCTCACTAGTGAAGTGATTTCAGTTCCTTCTAAATTTTGCCCATTTGACAGTTATTGACCTCACTTGTATTTCCCTAACACTTAGTTTGGAAATCTGCTCATCTGTACTGACCATTTCAACTTTCTATTCTATAAACTGCCAATATATGTATTTTTTTATCCATTATTCTTTTGCCATGTCAATTTTTCAAAACTTATCTTTTAACTATTTATGGTATTTCTTTCAAATAGTTTTAATTTTCAAGTTATCAAGTATGTCTACCTTTTCTGTAAGATACTTAGGAATTGTATTTGACAATGTTTTCCATATCCAATGACTGCCAATGTTATTTTTCTACCCATGTGTTCTTGCTCTTCTCAGTACTGTGTGTCATGATTCTAGTTTTTATTTGTCCCCCTTTTCCCCAGAACTTTTATTACCATGGATATAAAGATTCTAAATCTTACTAGGTTTACCTTGAGAAACGTCTCCTGTAGCCAAATCTGTAATCTCTTATACTACTTACACTCTCAAGACTTAAACTACTTATACTCTCAAGAAAGTAAATGTGTACATGTCCAAATACCACCTTAGATACAGCAGCAACTTGTGTATTAAGAAGTAAAACAAAACATTTGGCTCACTTAAAGAATGTATTTGCACTAGCTATGTTAATAGCCATCATTAAACTGGGACTATTAACTCACTGGGAAAACACTGGGCAAAGACAATGGCACAAACTACAGCTTACTTCAAGTGCTGCTTTTTATCTACAAAGACTTAGCTGTCACCTCCTAAAACAAATGCTTTCTTGCAATCCTGCATTACTTTCTTTCTCCTTTGTGACCACTGTACCCAAAACAGACTTTCATCACAGAACCTAGACCATCATAGTTTTCCATTTTTCTCTACTAAACCCCAAGCTCCTAGAAAGGACTAGTTATGTTTCTCTACACCCCTCTCTTCCTAGTGCTAATTAATTACACTAAAGGCCCTACATGAATGTTTCACTGGATAAATTCCAATGAGTTACTGAGCCTACAGAATATAAAACTTTTATTAGGATTCACTCACGTTAGTTAAAACATATTAAAAGGTTTTTAACCCTTTAATATTAATAATGTACCACAAATAAAACACTGTAATTTGCTAATATGTTAAACTTAGGGAATATCAGATGCTGATTACAAAAAAAATGAGCATTACTTTCTAATTCTTTAAATGTATACTTCCTAAAATTCTACCTCAAATGTTACTTCTGTTTATTACCTCATTTTACTTACGATATCTGACCTAAATTTTAAGAATGTTTTTCTCTTCCACAGCATTTTTATATACACTGAGTTAACCCGAAGCATTTCAACACTTTCCTGTCCTTAAGGTATTGTGACCAAAATTTAAAAGATAAACTCCTCGACATTTACTTATTATCTTTTAGTGTATTATCTGCTTCCTCAATGTTTATTTTCTGACCTCATTCTCACATCTTAAAATTCTTTAAAACAAATTTTCTTTCAATAAAAGAAAAATCTAAGCTCTGGCTTTAAAACATTTTAGTCTAGCCAATGCATCAATCGAATTCATGACATCTCCCAAAATTCAGATTTTGCTTAGATAATACCAATGGCTGAATTTCCATCACTTCAAAAAACTTCTATTTGGTCAAAAATTTTTTCTTGATTAGACTATTTCAGTGCCTTATTTCCCTCATATACTCTGAACCTTTCTTCAAACAAAATAATGAAACTTCCTATATTTGACACTAAAACAAATACACTACATCTGATGGAGCAGCCTGAACATACTAGTCTACGAGTAAGTAATAAACCAATATAATCTGTTTTTGCCCTATACTCATAGTTAAACATCTACAACTCATATCAGAGTAGTACCGTTGAATGAGTACACCCTACTATTTTATCTTTCTTTGCTGATTATAAAGTTAAATAGTGACACACAGGCTTAAAAACATTTAAATTACAGTTACATAGTGGTGAACAGTTGCAGTCTAAGTTTTCATTCTCATCAAAATTTCACATACCTGGTCAGCTAACATAAGTACAGTTTTCATTGTGAACCTCCTTGAACAGAAATTGAAGAGGTCTTCGAGGCTGGGTCCAAGAAGATCCATGACTAGAACATTGTAGTCTTTTTCCTGACCATACCACCTAACAAAAGGGGAAAAGGAAAAGCAAAGGCATTATGAAAAGCTGATTATTAACATGACCAAATTTAAAAAGTTCCTAAACCTTAAGAACAAGTTTTCCCTCTCTGGGTCAGACGATGAACCCACTGAATGAGTGCACTGCCCAGCACAACAGAAGGGTAGAGAGACTCTTCTTCCGTCAAGTGGCCCCACTGTCCCGTTTAGATAGGACTTGCCTGGCAACCTTAACATTCCTCTTACCAGGGCAGCTGAATTCTATACCCATCTATCTGCCACCCATTCCTGTGATCTTGGGCAAGCTCCTTAATCCCACCTGGTCTTACTTGCTATTTCAAGAAAAGAAGACTATGCTTATCAGTCATTTCAAAACATTTCAGAAAACAAAGATCCCCAATATTGTATCTCCTATCCCATTCCCCAACAAGCTGTATTTAATCAATAACAACATGTCCTTTTCTTTTAAAAAAAGGAGTCAGGTGCTTAGTTTCAGATTATAGAAAATAATCAGTATACCACAAGATGACACTTGCTTTTGATAGGAGTCATGTTTTCCTTCCCCCATGTTGTATTACTGTGGATAAATTTACACTGTCCACAGTAACTCAAGGAATGTCTACTGCTAATTTCAGGAACTCCAATGACTGAGAATCACTGCAATAAATGATTTCAAGTAAGAGTACTTTCCTAAAAAACCAACACTACCATTTTTATCTCAAACTTACCTAGATTACAAATTGTGCTTGGACAAAAAAACTGGTGAATTATTTAAAATGTTTTTTGAAAAGAAACTTATTTTTGCCCTGGGTGGTGGACTGAGTGCCATTCTGAGGACAGAAAAGTTGGTGGTTCAATTCCCAGTTAGGAGGGCACATGCCTGGGTTGCTGGCCAGATCCCCAGTTGGGGGCATGAAAGTAGCAACCGATCGATATTCCTTGTGCACATCAATAGTTCTCTCTCTTCCTCCCTTCTCATTCCTCTCTAAAAATAAATAAAATATTTTTTAAAAAAAGAAACTTATATCTAGATTGGAGTGATTTCTTCATTAACTTCAATAAGAACTGATACCAAGAATTTACCATATTTGAAAAGTTTGTGTTTTTAGAATACTTCAAAAGATGGAGAAAATACTGTTAAAAGCATGAACTAGTATCTGCCTAGTAGGAAAATTAGTGCTGTTTCTTTTTAAAATTTTTGCTCTTACTTTTTTTGATATGTCAATTAATTAAGACAAAAATCAAGATTAAAACTAGAATATGGTTACTTAATATTTTAATAATCCTATTTCCTAGAAACTGGTCAATCATGTTGAGAACCTGGTCTGTCCCAAAGCAAGCTCTTGGTTATAACCCCAGGGCAACAAAGAATGATATCTCCCTCCCCGCCACCTCCACTGGCTTTTGTGTTGCTCCGACTGAAGACACAGTTGGACTTTTTTCATCGTAGGACAGACAGAGATGGGGCATTGGAAACCCAGGGAGCAGCGTATATTTCCAGATGAATAAACCAAGCCATACCACAATCTCCCATGCCTGGGTCTTTGGAATGCTTTCCTTGCGATCCCATGCAAGAGCCTAACTTCCACAGACAGAAGGACGAGGCTTAGAAAGTTCATGTTCCTTTCTACACTTTAGCTTCAACTGTTCTTGAAAATTACTCTACAAACATGATACATGAATAACTGCCACCAAACACAAGAAAAAAATTCATTTCATATGCTCTTCGCAGAAAAAGGTATCCTGGTGGGAAAAGAGTTTCTGCTTACCCTTCTAGAAAGCTTGCCCACTAGCCGAAGAAAATCAATAGATGTACTGGCAGTACTGGTCTGTCCTTACAGTACCCAAACTGTGTAAGTCTTTACTTAACATTGTCAATAGGTTCTGTGACTTTAAGCAAATCAAAATATAATACCAATTTCACCATAGCCTAGTTGAATTGGTATACACAAGAATTAAGTTTCTTCTGCATCTCATCTATGTTTTAACAAAATGACAATGAACAAAATCTTATTTGAAAACCTGCTGTACAAGGATGCTCTGTAATTTTCTCTCTTCCATCCTTATTTTCCCATCCAAGTACTAACCAGGCCTGACCCTGCCTAGCTTCCAAGATCAGACGAGATCAGGCGCGTTCAGGGTGGTATGGCTGTGGACCATTCTTATTTTCCGTATAGGAATTCAACACTCTTCACGCTTATTCACACATTTACTTGAAAGAAAAGCTTGCAGTGGTGAAATGGGAAGATGTGGATAAAACATAACGAATAATATTAAAAGGTTAACGATGAAGAAAATGAATAGGTTATGTTCTCCTTTCCCTTTTCCTCTTCCATTACTTATTGGCAGAGGCAAATCTGTGCTAGAGAACTGTAAGAAACTTTAAAATTGGTCCTTGCCACTATAAATACCCAATAAAAGTTATGGCAAATATTTAATATAAATCTAATTTACCTAGCTTATTAAAAAAGAAACTATTCTATATAAGAACACCAAATCCAGAAAGAGTGAAGGCACTGACAAAAAGGCACAAAAAGTCAAAGGCAAAAGGGAAAGCATAAATTACTCTCGTAAGACCACATATCTTATTTCTACATCAGTGGATTTGCATTGATGGCTCACCGACAAAGCTACAGTAAACAAGCACATTTTACAACCATCCAAGCCCAAGTCCAAACCAGAATATAACACACAAATTCATACTTTGTATCTTCATGCAATTTCACAATTACACAATTACACAATTTCATAAAGCACTCTTTGAGAAGTCATCTGCAAAGTAAGCTTTAACAGAATACTCTCAAAATAATTAGAAACCAGAGAGAATTAGATGAGTTTGAAAACACACCTTTTTTGAAAATCAGGTTTTTATTTTGCATTTTTCTCCTTACTTGCCTGAGCACGAAAGACATATCCACTATTCTCAAGGTGAATAAGGTAAGTGATCCATAAAAAACAGCTAAAAAATTATATGTTTCAAAGGATTTTTCTCCATGAAATAACCATGCATTTCTGAAATAATCACATCTTCGTCCCGTGTAGAGTTTGGTACTGTAACTCTGTGAAAAGGACAGGTGTTTCTAACGTTCATACTTCCTTTTTGGTCTTAAGGAATATACAGTATAGCTTATTTCTCTAAAGCTAACACCTCATATCCTCCCCATCTGTGCTTTCCACTTGTCTAACTTATCCAGACATTGTTACACAGATTAGAAGCCAGGAACAGTTTTCTGCTTATCCAAACCCTACTTTCTCAGTCTCTACCTTCATTTCTATGTTTGCCACTTCCATTCTGAGAACTTCTCACTACTGCTTACAAAAAAAGCACCTTAAAGTCTAAAGAACATGTTAAGAGAAGGTAAGATCCCACTCTCTCTTCTCAGCCCCTTTGCCCTAAATCATATCCAAACTATATCTAGTTTAAAAATTAAGACACACACAAAAGCACAAATTGTAGATGATACATTCACATGGACTGGGGCCAACAAAAATGTTAACATAATTCAGAAAACGAAAAGACCATGGGAACTAAATTTGTCCAAAGAAGCCTCATGAAAATGATCTGTTGTTACAGGTCACATTCTGAAGGAGGGACAATATTCTGAAAGGGAAGCTAGAAAAGGGCATGCTTGGCAGGGGCAAGACCAGATCTATAGAGAGGAGAGTCAAAGCCACTGGTAGTTCCAGGCTATATTATATACTCTTGAATGCCAGGCTAAATAGCTTTTAAATTCTCTAAATAACTGGGGGAACTAACAAAAGAGTGTGGCTGGGGCATTATATAATTAAGCCAATATTTCAGAGTAGCCTTGGCATCAGTATGCAATATGAAAATAGGAAGTAGGGGAAGGAATAACAATGACACAGGGACCAATTACAAGTATTATTATATTACTGTTGGCGATTTGAGGCTAGGGGTTTCTTTTTGAGAAATCTCTATAAAAATGGAAATGTCTTATAAAAGAAAGGACTAAAATAAAGTATTTTAAGTATTGCCATGAGACCTAAGAACGTCCAAGAACAACAAATCAGTATAATTATGTACGCAGTTCAGATTAAAGCATTCAACTCTGATCCATTCCTATGACTAGGGCAGTAACAACAGATAACAATGTATTTGTTTATTGTGGGCACTCCCCTTCAGGCCCTCAACTTGACAAGAACGAAGGTTAGTTTCATGGTCAACCTGACTGAGCAAAGGCATACTGAATAAACCACTATTTTGGGGAGTCTGTGAAGGTGCCTTCGGAGACTGGCATTTGAATCAGGAAGGTTAGCATTTGAATGATAGACTGAGTAAAGAAGATCACCCGCCCCAAGGTGAGAGCCTGAACAGAACAAAAAGTCGGAATAAGGAAAAATTTGCTCTCTTCAGGACATCCACACTCCTGATTTTCAGGCCTTTACGCTTGGACTAGAACTATACTGGTTTCCCTAGGCTGCCAGCTTGCAGACCACAGATCACAGAATTTCCAAGCTCCTTAACTGCAAGAGCCAATCCCTCATAATCTCTTTCAGTGTGTCTATATACAAATTCATTGGTTCTGTTTCTCTAGAAAATCCTAATAGAAAAAAAGAAAAGAAAGAAAATCCTAATACAATAGAGGCAGCGTCTGCATATGTCTTGTTCACAACTCTGTATTCCCAGCATCCAGCACAATGACTTATATACAGGAAATGTTCAGTTAACATTTGCTAAATTAAAGAATGAAAAGCCAAATAGGAGGCTGTAAAATGGTAAGTGCTCGATATGACAGTTAAGGAAAACAAAAGAAGGAATTCAAAACATTCCCTGCTCTGAAAGTTTGAAGTCAACAGCAAGCACCTACTCATCTTTGATTCAAATGTGCCAAAAATTATAGAAGTTTAAAAATGACACTTTTAATAGGCAAATATCTTTTCCTATGCCATCTTTAGGTTATTAATGTCAGTCCTCACTGAACAAGTAAAAAGTATAAACGGTGACTCTGCTATAATATACCCATTTTAACAGCATGGACATTTTCA